GATTGTTAAAGAGGATCTGAAACTGGCCCCAGACAGAAATGAGAGACTATCTGAAAAATAACCTAAAAACAAGAAGGCTAAAGGTATGGCTCAAATGATAAAGAGAACCTGCCTGTAAAGCATTAAGGCCTTTAGTTCAAAACTCTACTACCTCCCTCAAAAAAAAAAAAAGAAAAATTAAGAAGAGGTTGGCTAGGCACCTGTGGCTCATGTGTGTAATCCTTGCTACTCAGAATGATCATGGTTTGAAGCCAGCCTGGGCAAATTTTTCTTGAGACCCTATCTTGAAAAATTCCTTCATAAAAAAGGACTGGTGGAATCGCACAAGATGTCGTCCCTAAGTTCAAACCCCAGTACTGAAAAACAAGAAAAAAAAAAAAACTTACTTGGGAGACTTGGGAAGCTGAGGCAGGAGGATCATAAGTTCCCAGTGGGCTACATAATAAATTTGAGGCCATCCTTGGCTATATAATGAGACATTGCCTCAAATAAAAAATTAAAGTTAAGTGCTAGTAGTTCACTCCTGTAATCCTAGCTACTTGGGAGGTAGAGATTAGGAGGGTCACAGTTCTAAGGCCAGCTCAAGATAGGATTCTCGAGACCCTATTTTGAAAATACCTAACACCAAAAAGGGCTGGCGAGTGTTGTAAGGCCCTGAGTTCAAAACCCCAGTACTGCCAAAAAATGAAAAAATAAAAAATAAATTTAAAAATTAAAAAAAAAAGAAAGGTCTTTATCATATAGTCATTTATAATGGAGCATTAACATTGTTTAAGTCATTGTTAAGTCTACATGATAATTCTTATATTATTGTTCTTTGGTTCATCAGTTTACTTTCCAAAGTGAAAGTTCTGAGTCCCAGGAATTTTGTCTCATTTTACAGTCTGACAGGTGTCTATTCAAGGTGACATACTCAGCTAATACCAGGAAATCTGTACTCATAATGCTATTTATTGCCACTACTATCAGTCAGATACCTGGCACTGTCCTTTACGAAGAACTTTTTGTTTTGTTTTCCACAAGTTTCCATTTTTACTTAAAAATAAGGCATTTGGACAATAGTATGAAAAAATCAGAAATTATCTTTAAATGAGAAGCATAAATGATAATAGGATATATGATAAGCTATATATCTTATAGCTGGGGATATAGGTCAGTGTTACAGCACTTGCCAAGCATTTGCAAAGCCCTGTGCCAAAAATGGCTTTGGTTGGCCTATTATAATTACCAATGATAGCATAATGAGCAGAAGTGGAGTCATTTATGCTGTCATTCATGAAGAGTTAAACAAAAATTATACTGAGAATAAAAACATTATGGAAAGTGAAGGCATTGACAAATCTCTGTTCTAATACATTCAACCAAATACATGTTTTGATTGGAGGGAAGATCTTTTTTGAGCAAATTAATCAAGTTTATCATGCCATGGAGGGAAGGGAGGCAGTTGGGGGGAGGGGGGAGAAATGACCCAAACATTGTATGCACATATGAATAAAAGAACTTAAAAAAAAGTTTATCATGCCAGTCCAATATTGGAACATTAGTGTGGCTTTCTCCAACCTTAAAAAGTACATAAAAACTGAGCATAGTGGTGCATGCCTCTAATCCCACTACTCCAGAGGCAGAGGCAAGAGGATCAGGTCAGCCAGGACTACGAGATAAGACCTTGTCTCTAAAAACCAAAACAAACAAAAAGAAGTAAAAAAAAGGCTGCAAATGTTAGCTTATTGATAGAGTGCTTGCATTAGCGAGAGACCCTGGATTAAGTCTCTGGAAGTGAACAGAAGGAAGGGGAAAAAAAAAAAAAAGATGCATTAATAGGGGCTGGGATGTAACTGAGTGGCAGAGCGCCAGCCTAGTGTGCAGGAGGCTTTAGGTTCAATACATAGCACTGCAGAAGAAAAAAATGCATAATAGTTAAAAAAGACACGGTAATAAAATTTTACTTACATTTAATTGATCTATAGATCTTGAACTTCTCTTAGGTTTGTAACTTTTTATTATGTATCTAACAAACTGGAAAGCTATTAGGATAATGATGTGGTCATTGAAATCTGAAACAAGACTTGAATCACTTGGTGTGATTCAGCAGCTATCTGGGAAACTCAAGAGTTCAAATATAAAAGCTTTTTTTTTTTTTTTCTTATTTTACAGTACTGGGGTTTGAACTCAGGGCCTTCACCTTGAGCCACAAGCCCTTTTTTCTGAATGGGTTTTTTTGAGATATGATCTCATGAACTATTTTCCCGGGCTGGCTTCAAACTATGATCCTCTTGATCTCTGCCTCCTGAGTAGCCAGGATTACAGGCATGAGCCACCGGCGCCCGGCTTACAAAAGGCTTTATAAATTTCATGCCAGATTGGAGAAGATGAGATTTGAACATAAATAAATACCAAAAGCCAAACAAACCAGTAATATAATTTTTTAGATAACATACTAACAGTTAATTATAGTTGTTAAATACTCTCACCTTTTCAGTTTTTTCCCCTTAAATATTTTGAATTAGATAAACCTGGTATTATAGTACATAAATTTCTATATACTATGTAAATGACAAAAACCAAATAGTCACCCTAGGTTTCTCCAGAGAAAGAATAAGTTTGGCATAGATATTGAATGGGGAACATTATAAACAACATAATAAAAAACTAATTACCTCCTTTTGCTTTTTAAAATTTTACACAAATTTAGATGTGTGTAATAAAACTAGTTATGTGTATAGTATAACTAGTTATAAGTTTTATAACTTCAGTCACGGGTGAAAAGAAAACATGATTTTGGGGCTGGCAAAGTGGCTCAGGTGCTAGAGTGCCTGCCTAGCAAGCATGAGGGCCTGAGTTCAAACCCCAGTTCCACAAACAAAAAAGAAAACATGATTTTAGACCAGGCAGTAGGATCTATAGGGTCATGGCTATAATCCCAGCTACTTGAGAGGCTCTCAGTGCAAAGCTGTCCTGAGCAAACTGTTAGACCCATCTCAACAAAAAAGATGGATATGGTGACATGTGTCTATAATCAAAGCTATAAGGGAGGCCATAGCCAGGAGGATCATATAGTCTAAGGCCACCCCATTCAAAAACGACCATATCTGAAAAATAAAAAGTCAGAAAAGGATTGGGTATGGCTCAATTGGTAGAGCACCTGCCTAGCAAGCACAAGGCCCTGATTTAAAATCTGTACTTCCCATAAAAAAACAAAGATTAAAAAAATTATTATCTGACTTTGTCAATTCATATCTAATTTGGTTGCTCCTCATTTCAACAGACATAAAGATTTTTCTCCTGAATTATTTGAACAGTAGCACACAAACAAATGAATATACCACAGCTTATACTAAGAATATTTTAATATCTCTAGGACAGGGCTGGAGATGTGACATGAGTGGTAGAGTGCTTGACTAGAAAGTACAAGGCCATACTTCACACCCCAGTACCACCAAAAAAAAGAAGCTTCAGCACACACAAACGAACAAATACATTAAAAGGCAGTCAAATCCTTTCTCTTATTCTACCACTCCACAGAGACCACATGGTCCAGACTATTTAAAAAAAAAAAGGACTGGAGGTATGGCTCAAGCAATGGAGTGCCTGCTTTGGAAGCATGAAGCCGTGAGTTCAAACCCCAGTCCCACCAAAAAAAAAAAAAAGGACTGGAACATAGCTTAGTTGTGGAATACTTGCCTTGCAGGTGTGAAACCCTGGGTTCTATCCCCATCACTAGAAAAAAAAAAAAAAAATCTCACATTACAGTTGCCAAATAAACAGGATCCAACTCTGATCTTGGTTTTGATGTATCCACGGCCAAAGTCTGGGAATTCTCACATGATTATTTGACCATAATGGTATCACTCTGTTAGATATCAACACTGCAAAATCCAGGGATAAAATTGTTTTTCTGAGAGAATCAATAATTAATGAGTAGTACAGATGACCCCAAATATGTGTGCGTATATGTTTCTGTATTTGTTGACCACAGAATGCCAAATATTTTTGTGCTTATTTATCCTAATGGCAGAAAAGTAGAATGTCAGTTTGCTTTCTTTTTATGTCCTCCATTTATTCTTACGAATCTTAAAACTAATTGTATGTGCACTAATGTTTCTTCCATAAAGAAACATTAATTCTAAACACAGTTATTCATTTGATTTGCTTTGATTACTAACAAAGAAATGTAGCTTAATTCAGTTAAAAAATATTGGGGGTGGCAAGATTGAGGGTTGAACTCAAGACCTCACACCTGTTATGTAGGCAGTCTACCACTTGAGTCACTTTGCCAGCTCTTTTTGCTTTGGTTATTTTTGACATAGTTACAGTTTAATGTCACTTCAGAGAAGCCTTTGCCATTTACTCTTCTTGTGCTCAAGCAATCCATCTGCCTAAGCCTCCTGAGTAGCGGGAATTAATGGCTTAGTTACTCTTTATTTGTCATATTTTAATTCTTTGCTAGCATTTGTAATTTTCTGAAATTTTTCCTGTTATTTTATTTCTTATTCCAAGGCAGGCCTGACTGGAACTCTAGATCCTCCTGCCTCAGCCTCCTGAGTGCTGGGATTATAGGTGGTATATACCATGTCTGGCTCAAGAAACTTCAGTTTTAGTATTAAACCTTTTGTTCACCAAAATTAAAGCAAATCACTTAACCTCATAGAGCACCTATTTCCAAATATGTAAACTAGAGCTAACATTGCCTCTTACTTGCTTAACAGAATTAATATAAATGATAATATATGAAAGTACTTTGTAAATTATAAATTAACTATAAGGTAGTCATTAAAATTAGATCTGAAATTTAGGTTCCTTTGCAAGCCTATTTTTTAAAGGACTTTTCAGAAAGATTTTTTAAAACATATGACCGTATTTGGAACCCTCTCCTCAAACAATGCATTTAAGCTAAGCCACTGTTAAAACAAATGGCCTTGATAGGTGATCTGTTCTTTATGTTTGGTCAGGGGAAGAAATTTCATTGCTTCTAACTGTTTCCCATTCTTTTCTAATCACAGCCCAAAGAGCAGATTAATCCAATTAAAGAAAGAGAAGCTGGAGTATACTCCAGGAGAACATGAATATGGATTGTTCCCAGCCCCCATTCATGTTGGTGAGTACTAAGTCCACATGATATATTGCTGAGAAGAGTATATAATTCCTTTGTGTTTGAGAGAAGTGCGTTATTATTTCTTTTTCTCCTAGTAAATTCAAACTCCTTACCATTTAATTTTCATGTACTCTCAAGAATTCTGTACATTATTTAATAGTCAATGAGCCAAAATCATACCAGGCATAGTGGCTATAATTCCAGCACTCAGAAGGATTAAGAGTTCAAGGCCATCCTGGACTGGACTACATGATGAAACCCTGTCTCATAAAAGAACAAAAAAAGTGAAAATGGCATAAATCTTCTTCATTGGGATTTTAATAAATAAAACTGTGTCTTAGCTTTTGATTCCATTAAGTCTGTCATCTAAGAAAACCCAAGTAGTTAGCAGTTCAAAGTGTTTTTTAATCTTCAAAAGGAATGACATGCTTTATGAATTTGCATTTATCAAAGAAAGAGGGCCCACTGCTTTTCCAGATTATGAGTGTGCTTGAAAAACCTCCAACCTCAGTCTCTCAGATGCTGGGATTATAGGTGTATACACCATGCCCAGCTACCAAATTCTTTAGAAGAGTCTTTTGTTTTTACTAGTGAGATGATAGCAGTAAAAACAGACTTAAGAAATTTACTTCTTCCCTGGAACCTGCTATGGAGAAGTAGGCTTTGAAAAAAAGAAGTGATTTAAAAGTCCCACTTAAAAAGAAAAGCATGAGTCCTGGAGGAGTGTCTCAAGTGTTAGAGCTCCTGCTTAGTAAGCATGAGACCCTGAGTACAAATCCCATTACTGCTAAATGAATGAATGAATGAATGAATGAATGAATGAATGAATGCAGGCATTATCATTTGGGTCTTATCAGTTTTGTCCTGAATGAGAAATTTTTTAACCTAGATCTTGGAATGAAGCTCTAAGTGTCTAAAAAGATGAAGATCCTGCTAATTCCAGCAAAGATAGAAAGAATAATGTCGAAGCCATTATCTCTGGCATAAATACTGGTGTAACTGTAGTTCCCAGCTTTGTCTATTACTGAAACTAGCTTATACTCAGTGGTATGCCTAGTGAATAAATAATAGAAAAAAACTATCCAGGTAAGAGAGGGTCTTTTTAACTTGGAATCAAATAGTACTTAAAATTACACTGTCACAAGGCAGAGTTTATTTTTCTGGGGAGTCGTATTTTATTATTTAAATAATATTTATTATTAGAATAGGGACTGGTCATTTTGGATACCATATAAACAAAGAATGACTTGAAGAGAACCAGAGTAGTTTATCTCCATCTTTGCCGTAATAGTTATTTGGGTAAAATAGATAACATAAGTAATGGTGCAACTTGCCATCGATTGAGTCAGATTAATAGAGACCCATAGCTTAGAGGTATAGCATTTGCCTTGCATATGTGAGGCCTTGATTTTGATTCCTAACACCACAAAGAAAAAGAAAATTTATTCCATTTAGTTACATTTCTTTATCTTACTACATAAAAACATTTCAAATTTTACTTTTTCTTTGTTGTTTTGAGGTAAGAGTCTTGCTAGGTAGTCCAGGCTGACTTTAAATTCTCACATCTTCCTGCATTAGCCTCCTGAGTGTTGGAATTACATGTGTGTGCCCCACGCCTGGCTCAAAACTTTACTTTTTAAGATACATGCTCATTTAGCCAGGTGTTGTGGTGCAAGCCTATAATCCTAGCTAGTCAGGAGGTGGAGATAGAAGGATTGTGGTTTGAGGCCAGCCCAGGTAAAAAATTAGGGAGACCCCAATCCAATGACCTGGACAGAGTGACTTCATGCCTATAATCCCAGCTATATGGGAGGTACAGATTGAGGAGGCCAGCTGGGGCAAAAAGTATGAGACCCTATCTGAAAAATAACTAAAAAGGGCTGGAGGCATTTTACAAGTGGTGGAGTGTTTGCCTAGCAAGCTAAGGCCATGAGATTAAACCCCAGTATTACAAAAAAGAAAAGAAAAGAAAAAGATATATACTTACTTATAAAAATGTGTGTTGTACCCTTAAATTTACGGGCTTTTTTTAAAAACAGTGCTAAAACAATAAGGTGAGGAAAAAATAATTCTTTGAACAAACAGTTCTGTATTAACTGATACACATTAAAAAAAAAAAGTGGACCCTCCCCTCTACTTCATACCATACACAAAAATTAACTCAAAATGGATCATCAGCAGGCAGATAGTGTGAGATTTCATTCATTAGTAACCTAATGAAATTGTCTCAATTTAAAACTTGTGAATTATTTATTTCTAGAATTTTCTGTTTCATATTTTTAGACTGGAGTTGGCTGCAGTTAGAAAGCAAAACCTCCATAAAGAGGGAGAACTATGGGCTGGCTGGGATGTCTCACACCTGTAATCCTCACACTTAGGAGGCTGAGGCCAGAAGATTGAAAGTTCAAGGCTAGCCTGGGTTACATAAGGAAACCTGTCTCAAATAATAAAAAAATGAATAAAAGGAGAATTACTAATAAAGGGTTTGTGTCTGTATGTACATATATATATAAAGAACTGTTGTAACTTGGTAATAAAAAGACAGAGCAAGGCACTAGTGGCTCACACCTGTATTCCTAGCTTCTCAGGAGGCAGAGATCAGAAGGATCACCGTTGGAAGCCAGCCCAGGTGAATAATTTGTGAGACCCTATCTTGAAAATAGCCAACACAAAACAGGACTGATGGAGTGACTCAAGTGGTAGAGCACCTGCCTAAGCATGAGATTCTGAGTTCAAACCCAGTACTGCCAAAAAAAAAAAATACAGAAATTAAAAACCCTCATACATTGCTAGTGGCAATGTAAAGTGGTATAAGCCACTTTGGGAATGTTTGGCAAGTCCTCAAAAGCTAAACATAAGCTTTGGCATGGTGATACATGCCTGTTGTCCCAGCTTGGGACAATTGGTTGAATTCACAAATTCAAGACCAGCCTGGACAACATAGTGAAATCCTGACCCAAAAAATTAAGCATAAAATTGCCCTATGACCCACCAATTCCACTTAGTTCTATAACTAAGAATATTACAGATGTTTATGTAACGTTTGTACACAAATACTTATAGCAGCAATATTCATAATAGCCAAAAGATGAAAGCATTGTTTCCCAGATGTTTGGCTAAGATCAAGGGTAAAAGGTAAAAGCAACTCAAGTGTCCATCACTGGATATATGTATAAACAAACTATGGTCTGTCTCTGCAGTGCAATATTACTTATCAGTAATAAGAAATAAAATACTGAGGTATAACACAACATGACTAAACCTTTAAAACATAATACTGATGAGGACTGTATGTGTAGCTCAGTTGTACAGTGCATGCTAAGAGGCCCAATATTCAGCCCATCGTACCAAAATAAAAGCTACTTTATGCTATGTGAAACAACTCAGTCACAAAAGTTATATGATTTCATCTATATGAAATGTCCAGAATAGACAAATACATAATTAATTAGATTAATTAGATTTATGGTTGCAAGGGACTGGGTAAGGAGAAAACTGAGAGTGAAAGGTAATGGATATAGAGTTTTTTGGGGGGATAGTGAAAACTTTCTGACATTAGTGGTTGTACTAACCAGTTCTCCACAGAAAAATAAGCAATAGAATATAGAGAGAGATTTATGTTTAAAAGTGTGGCTCACACAGTTGAGGGTGGTGACAAATCTAAAATCTGTAGGGTAGCCAGGCCTGGTGGCACATGTCTGTGATTCCAGCTATTCAGGAGACGTAGATAAGAGAATCATCTTCAAGCCTGATTCTAAGCAAAATCATGAGACCCTTTCTGAAAAACAACTAAAGCAAAAGAAGGGCTCACAGCATGGTGGTTGAGCCTAACAAGCACAATGCCCTTCCTTCAAACCCCCAGTATTGCCAAAAAATAAAATAGAATAAGATAATGTAAAATCTGTAGGATATACTAGAAGACTGGAAACCCAGGAAAGAGTTGATGTTGGCACTTCAGTCCTATGGCAGCCTGTTGGTAGAATTCTTTCTTCTGGGGAAATCAGTCTTTTTCTTGTTGGCCTTCAACCAACTGGAAGAAACCTATCACCTAATGGATGGTAATCTGCTTTCCTCAAAATTTACTGATTTCAACATTAACCTCATCTGAAAAAATACCTTCATAGCTATATCTTAAAATAATGTTTGGGTAATATCTGGGTAAGATGGCCTAGCCACATTAGCACATAAAATTAACCATCATAATGGTGATGGTCGTACAACTCTCTATACTAAAATCCACTAAACAGCATATTCAGAATAAGTGTCTCAATAAAGCTTTTATCTTAAGAATATATATTATAAGCTGGATGTAGTGGCTCATGCCTGTGATGTAATCTCACCACTCAGGAGGCTAAGGCAGAGGATAGAGTTTGACCCCAGCTGAACTGTATTGTAAGACTCTTGTTTCAAAATAAAATGTGTCTGTTTGTATTGTTTTTATCAAGCATATATTAATCAAAATTTTAGTGACCTCTTACTCTAAAGAAAATTTTTAGCTCTTCATTCCTATGGCTACAGGTAATTTTAAATGTTAATTTAAATTTTAATTTAAATTTTTATGGAGTAAAAGATATGTTGTTCAATATAAGAATTTCAAGCACAAACACATATAACATTAGGATAATATTATGTATGATAAATGAAATAGAATAATGTCCAAGGATATAAAGAAATTATTTAAGTTTCTAAATGTTAAGGAGGAGATTATTCCTTTTTAAATAACTGATCCTAAGTATTAATTCTTTGTTATTTAGGTTCTTTTTAAATGGCATGTCCAGAAATTATATCATTTGTAACTGCTTAAATTTACTTGCACAAATGCATAAGAGAATTCATTGTTTTTTAAATATTTGGTTGGGTATGGGAACAAAAATATTTGAAAATATGGTTTTCACATTTGCCTTGGAAGCAGTGAGGCCTTAATTCAGATTCCACCTCCACCAATTACTATCTATAGACCTTGGACAAGTTAATATATCTCAAAATCTCATTCTTTTGTAAAA